CCTTAAAGATAGATTCTGTCCCTAACCTCTATCAGTAAAGAATTGTAGACATGAAATTTTCAGCCCTCGAGCACACCACAGTCGGGCGGTGATCCATGTTTTTAATTCCAGCACTTGTGAGTTCACAGCCAGCCTGGTCTACAAGAGGGAGTTGGGACAGCCATGGCAACAAAAAGAAACCCTGTCTCAAAAAAAAAAAAAAAACCTACTGAGGGTTTGGTATACTAGTATATTCTTATAATTTCAATACTAGGGAAGCTGAGGCAGGAGGATTGTATTAAGGCCAGCTTGGGCATGGCAAGAGCCTATTAAATGGGTGGGAAACTGGAAGATAGCTTAGTAGTCAGTAAAGTGCTTTCTGCACAAGCATGAGGACCTGAATTTGGATCCCTAACATCCATGTAAAAGGATGGATGTAAACCAGGCATGGTGGTACATGCTTTTAATCCCAGGATCAGGAGGCTGAGGCAGGCAGATCTCTCGAGTTCCAGACTAGCCTTTAATTCCAGCACTAAGAGGCAGAAGCAAGCAAATCTCTGAGATGAAGACCAATCTGGTTTACAGAATGAGTTCCAGGACAGCCAAGCCTGTCCCTGATCTCAAAAACCAAAAATAATATAACAACATGTGTGTGTAACCTGGAGTTACACATATTAGTCAGCCAGCCTAGTCTAGTCATTGAGCTCTAAAAGGTCAGTATAAGGCCAAGGAGATGGCTCACTGGGTCATGCACTTAAAAGAAGACCTCAGTTTTAATCCCCAGAACCCAAGTAAAGTAGGGCATAGTAACTCACATATGTAATCCCAAGAGTTCCTGCAGCGAGGTGGGCAGTGGAGACAGGAGAATCCCAGGAAGTTCATGTGCTAGCCAGCCTGTACTATAGCCACAAACATCAGCACATGTAACACACATTATACAAACATGAAGCATACACATTAAATAAATAATGTGGAAAATGACGAAGAAAGATACTTGATGTTGACCTCTGATCTCCAAATATGCACATATTCAAGTGAACATGTATGTACATTGTACACACGTGAAAAGAAAGGATGGCCACTGAGGAGGGATCATAATTTCAGGCAGGTTATTTATTAGCACACATGAATTTTGTTTTGTTTTCTTGAGACAGGTTTCTCTGTAGCTTTGGGGCCTGTCCTGGAACTAAATTCTGTTAGTTCCTTGAACTCACTGAGATCCGCCTGCCTCTGCCTCCCAAATGCTGGGATTAAAGGCGTGCGCCACCACCACCCATCGCTATTACCTTTTAAGGTGTGTGCTTGGGAGAGCAGCAAGTCTGCTAGCAGATAGTTCACAGCTTAAGATGTGAAGTGGCAGCCTGTGAAAAGTAAGGCCATTTTGAAATCCCACACATTCATTTACTGCACTGTGACCACGTGGGTAATATGCATGGAAGTGACTGACAGCTGTAACGAGTACTGAACAGAAGTCAAGGGGAGAGGGAAGGGGACATACAAAATGGCTCCTCGGTCATTAGTTCTAACTTTTGCTCCTACAGCTACGTTATGACGATGAAGTGAAGCGGGTAGTAGCTGAACCAGTGGAGTTAGCACAAGAATTCCGCAAGTTTGACCTGAACAGTCCCTGGGAGGCTTTCCCTGCCTATCGTCAGCCCCCTGAGAGTCTCAAGCTTGAAGCTGGAGACAAGAAGCCTGAAGCCAAGTAGCTTGAAAAGCTGGATCCCAGAAGAATGCCTAATCTATGGTTGTCTGTGTAAATAAACTCCTAAGGTCATTATTGGCTGGCTTTTTGAGAAAGGGTTTCTCTGTGTAGCTCTACTGGAACTCCCTCTGTAGCCCAGGCTGGCTTTGAACTCAGATCTGCTTGCCTCTGCCTCCTAAATGCCAGGATTAAAAGAGTGCACCACCGCCACTGCCTCTGGGTGTTTTAAAAACATTTATTTAGTGGGGGTGGCAGCATATGTGACCAATCAGAGGATGATTGGCAGGAGTGGTTCTCCCACCATTGGGTTCTGGGAATTACACTCAGGTTATCCAGCTTGGCAGCAAATGCTCTTTCTGCTGAGCTACTCCCCCAGTCCCTCATGATCTTTTTTTTTTTAAATATTTATTTATTATGTATACAATATTTTGTCTGTGTATATGCCTGCAGGCCAGAAGAGGGCACCAGACCTCATTACAGATGGTTGTGAGCCACCATGTGGTTGCCGGGAATTGAACTCAGGACCTTTGTAAGAGCAGACAGTGCTCTTAACCAGTGAGCCATCTCTCCAGCCCTCCCTCATGATCTTTAATGGGTAGAAATGGTACTGACTCAGGAGAGGGGTGCAGGGGCTGGAGGTGTTCCCTCCAAATTGGTCTATTTAATGGAGCTGTATGCTATAGTAGTAGACACTGTTATCTGTAGGCCTCTGGAGCTGTAATTCAGTTTTCACAGTCCTTAGGGTTTAGAATAGGTGTAGCATGGTCTTTAGTGACAACTGAGGGCCTTGAAACTACTGAAGAAAGTCCTTATCTCAGCAGACTGTGTGGGAGCAGCTGATAGATCCAGGGGTCTGGGTGGGGCCAGAACCTCCATGTACTGTCATCCATCCAAACATCCACAGGGTTCTATGAGCCAAGTGCAGGAGCTATTTCCTTTTTTATTTTATTTTATTTTTTTTAAAGATTTATTTATTAGGTATACAACATGTGTGCCTGCAGGCCAGAAGAGGGCACCAGATCTCATTACAGATGGTTGTGAGCCATCATGTGGTTGCTGGGAATTGAACTCAGGACCTCTGGAAGAACAATCTGTGCTCTTAACCTCTGAGCCATCTCTCCAGTCCTTTTTTTAAATTGATTTTTATTGAGCTCTACATTTTTTTCTGCTCCCCTCCCTGCCTCTCCCCTCCCCCTTCAAACCTCTCCCAAGGTCCCCATGCTCCCCAATTTACTCAGGAGAACTTGTCTTTTTCTACTTCCCATGCAGATTAGATCCATGTAAATCTCTTTTATTAGTGTCCTCACTGTTGTCTAAGTTCTCTGGGATTGTGGTTTGTAGGCTGGCTTTCTTTGCTTTATGTTTAAAAACCACCTATGAGTGAGTACATGTGATAATTGTCTTTCTGTGTCTGGGTTACCTCACTCAAAATGTTTACCAGCTCCATCCATTTTTCTGCAAAATTCAAGCTGTCATTTTTTTCTGCTGTGTAGTACTCCATTCTGTAAATGTATCACATTTTCCTTATCCATTCTTCGATCCAGGGGCATTTAGGTTGTTTCCAGGTTCTGGCTATGACAAACAAAGCTGCTATGTACATAGTTGAGCACATGTTCTTGTGGCACGATTGCACATCCTTTAGATATATGCCCAAAATTGGTATTGCTGGGTCTTGAGGAAGGTTGTTTCCTAATTTTCTGAGAAATCACTACACTGACATCTGAAGGGGCTGTACCAGCTTGCATTCCCACCAGTAATGCAGAAGTGTTCTCTTTACCCCACATCCTCTCCAGCATAAGTTGTCATTAGTGTTTTTGATCTTGGCCATTCTTTCAGGTGTAAGATGGAAGAGCTGTTTACTCTTATGCCATCCATAGGGTTCTATGAGCCAAGAGTAGGAGCTATTTACTCTTAAGCTAAAGGAATCTATCAAGTTTCTGGACTAGTACTAGAAAGTTGTCAGTAGAGTTATCAGAGGCACTTGGGAGCCACAGGTTCATCTATCTGCTTTCTGTAGTATGGCGATGCAGGCCGCGTTCCCGCCCAGCTCTGCACGGCTAGCTTTACCTGAAATAATTACATGGAAACTGTATTCTTTTAAAGATTGCCTGGTCTATTAGTTTCAGCCTTTTATAGGCTAATTCTCACATCTTGCTTTAACCCATATTAAATAATCTGTGTAGCACCATGAGGTGTGGCTTAGCAGGAAAGATCTTAACCTGTGTCTGTGTCTGGTGGGAGAATCATGGTGACTGCCTGACTCGGCTTCTTTCTCCCAGCATTCTGTCTGTCTACTCCGCCTACCTAATTTTCTGTCTTATTAACCAATGAAATCAACACAAAACAGAAGACTCTCCCACATCAGCTTTCCAAAACAATGCTGCCTCCCTCAGCTACTCTCATGCTGGTTTGTTGGCTCTGTGTCTGTCTGCTATGTAGCTGGAGAACTGGACTTGCAGCTGATGCTTTTGGCAGCTGAGGAGCCCTGGAGGCTGGGCTGGACTCGGTGTCAGGTTGGATTAAGTGTCCTAGCTGGCCTCTAGCAAGATGTTTTCAGTGTGGGAACAGATAGTAAGATAGCATTGCTGCTTGAGATGTGTCCCTTGGTAGGGTCAAGCAGGATCTCTTATTAACTAAACAGCCCATCCATCTGAGCAAAAATATGATGCTACTGCCGAAACTGAAGAGTCCCCATCTTGAAGGGGTGAAATTAACCCCCAGGTGAACGAGGCCATAGCCAGCCCTTCCTTACACAGCACTGAAGACTGACAAAGGAATGAAGTAGCATCCTGTCGTGGAAAGTTGGATGAAGGAGCACAATGCTTCTGGGAGGACAGTTAGAGGACATGCTGGGACATTACAGTTCCTGCTGCGTGCAGTGGTAGTCACTGGTCTCCCTTGGGTGACTAGTCCAGAATCAGGGTGGGTGGCTCTGAGCCTCACATGGCAGAGGAGGAACTGTGGGCCTGGGGAGTGCTATAGTGGCTGATGGTGTGGAAACTCTATGGAGATCAGTTTCAGTGCTTACTGTTGTTCTGGGACTCTACCAGGGTGTTGTGCTAGCCATAGTAGTCATGTTGAATTTTTGCCAAGATGGGAGTCAGAATGGAATGCACTGGGATAAGATTCAAGCCTCAGAGGGTGACCACCAGCATGCATATATGTGCATTTGGAATAGGGGAGGGGACATGAGATGGGACCCACACACTTTTTTGTTAAAGATGCCTCCTGGGCAACAAAACTTTTCTGGGAGGCCAGGTGTTCAGAGTGATGGACAGCAGGGATCCAGTTCCCCTTTACTGCCTCAGGACTGTCCATGGACAGCATTGTCATGGAAGGTGGCCTGCAGGAGCCAGAGGGCCAGAAGTGATGCTTGAGGTCATTTTTCTTAGCCTGGATCATGGAGTTGCAGGGTCCAAGCATCCTAAGTTCAGGGTTTGGAAGGGGACTAAAGTTAGACCTGCCTGTGGTGGGGACCAAGCAGCATGGGTCTTCCCAACTCCTTGCCCACTCTTGCTCCCATACCTGACACCTAAGGTCAGCCCCACCCCTAAATAGCTCCCCATGCAGTCCTGGGGGCGGAGCTGGAACCGGACAACATGGGACAGCTGTACACCCAGGATTAGAAAGCAGGATACACACACATCCAGGCCATCAACTCAGGCTCCTCCAGCAGCAACAGGTGCCCAGTGACTTGGAGGGTGCTAAGCCATAGTTACAGCAACTCCAGCATCTTCAGGAAGGGCTCCTCTTAGCATCTGCTTCTTTTTTTTAAATACATTTTATTGATATTCAGCTCTACATTTTTCTCTGCCCCCCTCCCTGCCTCTCCCCTCCCCCTTCAGCCCTCCCTCCCACCAAGGTCCTCATGCTCCCAATTTACTCAGATCTTGTCTTTTTATACTTTCTACTTCCCATGTAGACTAGATCTATGTAAGTCTCTCTTAGTGTCCTCATTGCTGTTTAAGTACTCTAGGATTGTGGTTTGTAGTCTGGTTTTCTTTGCTTTATGTTTAAAAACCACCTATGAGTGAGTACATGTGATAATTGTCTTTCTGTGTCTGGGTTACCTTACTCAAAATAATGTTTTCTAACTCCATCCATTTTCCTGCAAAATTCAAGCTGTCGTTATTTTTTTCTTAGCATCTGCTTCTTATAGGCCCATTATGTGTCTATCAGCTCCATGGGGCTAGTGAGGCTGAAGAGGGAGGTCTTTGTCCTCCTGGCACAGAAAACACTTTGGGACCTGTGCAAGGGTTTCTGTCCCCAGAGCCATCCCCCTTCATTGGGATCCTGACCCTTCCCTTTCACTTGGCATTTCCTCTTCTCATTACCTTTTCCCTACCCTTGGCAGGGACTCCAGCAAGTTCCTGTGTCTTCCTATTCTGATCTCTAGCCTAGCTTGGCCCCTGGATGCTGACCACCCATGCTCATTCCTATTCTATTTTACTTCATAGACCCAGCTAAGGCCTGGGTTTAGGCATAAGCACAATGCAAAGGGCAAGACTGGCAGACAGTGGTTACATGTCCAGAGGTCAGGATTGAAAGTGTGTTTAATACATGCTAAAAGCAAAGCAAGCCCTAAATAAATTCATGTCAGATCCTCTAACTCCTCTCCTGGCAGTGCTGGGAAATACGGAATGCTTGTTACCCAGTCTCACACTCATGTCAAAGCTGACCAAGAGTCTACGGTCTCTGAGACTGCAAAGTCCCCGTGTGGACTGGGAGCATAGATTGGTCTTCCATGGCTCTAATTTACAGAAGGAGTCAAGGGAAAAGGTAGGGGAACATTACCTCTGTGGAGAGGAAAGAAAAAAAGTTTTCTTTTGTTTCATCTTAAGCCTCACATGTAACAACATCTTAGAGTAAGGAATAAAGCTGGGAGAAGCCCCTCGCAGAGAGACTGGTTCAGGCAGTGTAGGGTATGTATGTGTATTCTGTGTAGCTCTGTTCTGGCCTCCCAGAGCCCTTCTCATTTTTGTATCTATGAAAACTGACTAATGCCGGGCGGTGGTGGCACACGCCTTTAATCCCAGCACTGGGGAGGCAGAGGCAGGAGGATCTCTGTGGGTTTGAGGCCAGCCTGGTCTACAAGAGCTAGTTCCAGGACAGGCTCCAAAACCACAGAGAAACCCTGTCTCGAAAAGCCAAAAAAAGAAAAAAAAAAAGAAAAGAAAACTTACTCTAACACATGTTTTGACCACATCATTCAGCCGGTTTTGAGAGGGCAGGAGGCAGGGCAAGTAGGTATCAGCCCTCAAGTCCCATGCCCTACTGGAAGAAGGAACATGCTGTTTCCTTGAGTCCTGTGTTCCTACTGGGTCAGAGTAGTGGGATGTTCCTTGTTACAGAGAGGCAGAATTTGGGCCTGAAGAAGAATGTCATTTGTCAGTGAGAAGTCAGAGGGAGGGATGCACTTGACACAGATATGAAGGTGAGACCTACTTGAATTTAGGAGAATATGATTCAAGCTTCGGTCATTCTCACAAAGCCTGACCCCCATCTAGGCCTTACGGGTTGTCCTAGTCTGGGTTGTTCTGTCCTTCCCGGGGAGAAGAGGAGGCAAAGGCATCACAGTCAAGACACAGGGCAGGGCCATAGGGCTGACAGAGGCAGGCCCATTTTATTGGAAGAGTCGAGGCGCATTGAGCAGGTTGTTATGCTCGGGCTGGTGAGGCGTTCGGGCTGCGGTCCCGGCTCGGCATGCACACCCCACGGCCTTCCCGGGTTCCTCCAAGCTGAGGTTCAGAGCTCGGGGGGCTTGAGAGCGGGCGAGCCGGCGGCAGCGAGGTCGGGGTACACCAGAAAGCCTGAGAAGGTGATGTACTTGCCGTGGTTGCTGTAGGCGCCATAGCCATCATGGTCGTGGCTGAGCAGCCAGACGGCGTCGCCGCGCCGCAGCGGCAACATCACGCTCTGGCTCTGCATCTCGCGGCGCCTCGAGGCGCCGTCGTCGTAAATCATGGCCTGCACCTCGTCGCGGTTCTTCATCAGCTTCACCGACAGCGTCTTGCGCGGCAGCTTGCCCAGCGTGAAGGAGAAGAAATAGGCGCCGGGCAGGCGGCAGCGGAACACGCCGGCCGCCGCGTCGAAGTCGCCACCTATGTTGACCAGCTCGGTGTCGAAGGCCAGCGGCCGGTGGTGCGGCCCGGGGCCAGCGTCCGAGCCCACCAGGCTGCGCGTGCGCGCCGCCGAGAAGGCGGAGCGCGGCTCCGGGGGCGCAGCTCCGCGTGCAGGCGTGTCGGCGTCGGCATACACCAGGTAGCCGCTGAAGGTGGCGCCGGGAGCGCCCAGCGCGTATTGCGGAGCGCCGTGCAGCCGCAGCCACACCGTGTCGCCGTAGTCGAGCTGCAGCATGGCACTCTGGCTGGCAGCGCGCCGCGCGCCCGGCCGCCGCTGCTCGTCGAAAGCCAGCGCCTGCACCTCGTCGCGGTTGCGCACCAGCATCACCGACAGGCTCTTGTGCGGGGCCTTGCCGGCCGTGAAGGAGAAGAAGTAGGCGCCGGGCACGCGGCAGCGGAACCGCCCGGTGGCCGCATCGAAGTCGCCCCCGATGTTCACGTACACCTTGTCGAAGGTCACCGCCATTTCGGACGTGCCCTCCAGCGGGGTGGTGCGAGCTGCAGAGAAGGCTGACCGCAGCTCTGGGGAGCCAGGGCCGGCCGGGCCCAGTGCCCAGCAGGCCGCCGGGCTTAGCAAACCCAGCAGGAGCAGCAGCATAGCACCTGGGAGGGGAGAGAAGACCCGGGCAGGGGAGAAGGGTTGGACAGTGCCTGCCTCCACCTGTAATTTCTCTTCCTAGCCTTGCTCTTGACCCATGACTTGCGCTGTTTCCCTTCAATAGGCCAGTACTTCTCACTTAAGGTGCTTCAGTGCCGGCTGGAGGGCTTATTATAGCACCCATACTTGTTGCAAGTCTACTAGCATCTTCGCAGGCTGATTAGCGGACCTAGAGTTCACATACTCAGAATCACTGGATTAGGCCAGGCCTTCTCCAAACTTTTTTTTTTTTTAAAGCTTGAGAATCCTTTTGCAAATAGGGCCTGGTGCACATGCCACAGACATGTTGACCTGTTCTGGTTAATGAGGCCCGCAGCCCTGTCCTCTCTCCTTCTCCGGGTGTTACGGAGGCCTAAGTTTCCTGTAACCAGCACCTGCATTCCACTGCTTCCCCTGTGGTTTTTCTCTCTCCTCGGCCTACCCTTCACAATAAACACTGGCTCTTTGTATCAGTTTCCACCACGGCAACGTTTTTAACTCTTACCTGGGAATGAACGAAGAGAGCGGCTCTCTCACCCCTTCCTGGCCTCTGATCTACTCCAGAGTCCCACAGGATCTCTGGAATCTCCTTGGGTCCTTCCTGCACTGAGAAGGTCTGGCCCTACGAAAACAGAATGAGGTAACAAGGCACTGGAGAGATGGCTGAGCAGTTAAGAGTGTAAGCTACCGTTCCTAGCACCACATGGCAACTCACAGCCACCTGTGATCTAATGCCCTCTCTTGGCCTCCATTGGCAGCTGGCATACATGGTACAAAAACATACATGCAAACAGAACAGCCATAGTCAGAAATGTGTTTACTCTTTAAGGGCTATAATTCCCTCCGGGCCTTTATGCTTGGAGGCTGGTTCCTGTGGGAAGGAGGGCACCATGGCTGCTGAGGAAATGGAGAACAAAATAAAGTCCCGGCAGGGTTTTGGCAGGATGGTGAAGTCATCAGCTTCATTTGGTGGAATGGAGTGGACAGACCCACAGTGCTCTGACACTGAGTCACACCCCAGTCACCTTAGGCAATATTTTTTTAACTCTGAGTAAGGCTTCATCCATATAAACAGCATGGTGGAGGACCTCACACAAGCTTGTGGTAACATACCCAGACAGCAATTGTGAACAAGGTCTGTATAGGGACACACCTACCCAGGTGTCCAGACACTTCTGTTCCTACCCCAGGGAAAAGTGACCTGATCAAGTTCTTGACCTAAGGTGTTAGTCTCAGTAAATGCTTGGTGGAGGCATTACCCAGTTCCTGGAGTCTGCTGTTGGTGGGGTTCCACCATGCTCTGAAGTAGGGCAGAGGTTTTGAAGCTTGAACACCCAAAGGTTCCAAAGTGGAGGCAAGTGGGAAAGGAGCCTAGAGGCAGACTGAGACATGAGCTTTCCTGGGAAGCCCCTGGGAGCGTGTGAAGCCTTGCATCTCGGCTGAGGACTGGAACTAGGCTGCACTCCATGTCCCTAGCTGCTGGAGCAAATGCACTGCCTTTAACTCTCACAAGAAAGACCTCAGGTCCAGGGGCCAGCTGAACACTGCCTCCTCCCAGGGGGTACTTTTCTGATTCTCAGAGATGTCCTCTGGGTTACTTGGTGAGGAAGGGAGGCGTAGTGAGACCTCCACCTGCCAAGTGTCTAATTCCTTTTTACAAACTATTTTAGACATTACAGATGAGCCCTCTCCCATCTTATGGATGAGAAAGCTGGTGCTTAAACAAGGAGTACAGGTTTTGGCTCTAGGTCATCCACGGAACACTAAGCTTTAAACAGAGGGTTTAAATTTCATATTCGGTGCTTTGCTCTACTAGGTTTCCTTCTCACACAAAGGCATCTCTCCAGCCGATGCATTTCCTGCCTCTGACCCCTTTAGCAAAACCAGAAGAGACAAGGAATGAGTGCTGGAATCTCGAGAGAAGAAGGAAGCTTAGCAAGCAAACAAGCAAGCAAGCAAACAAAAGCAAGCAAGACCCTCTGGCGTTTTGTCTCCTGTCGGGTGGGAGTGCCCCCCCCCCCCCTGCGGCTTTCCTAGCAGTCTGCTCTAGAAGCTCCTGCCCACCTCCTGCCAAGTCTGGGAGATCCATCAGTGCCAAAGGATCTTCCCCCTTTTCATACTCTACTGCACGTGTCCCTGGACCCTGGATTCCTCCCTTTGACAACCCCTTTCCCCAGCAGGTCAGTGGGGGATGGGAAGGTGTCAGGTGGGTGTTGGAGCTCCAGCGAAGGAAATGGCTGCACAAAGCTCTGTCCAGGTAAAGCTCAAAATAGTCACCTTCAAAGAGAAAAACTGGGACACAGAGAGAGAGAGAGCTGGGTAAACCCAGAGTCCTGGAACCAATGGGGAAGGTGCAGCGATGTCAGGCTGAGGGCATCTTCAAGCCCCAGCACCTTGCTCCTGGAGTCCCAGTTAATCCCGCTCTCAAGCCCCGCCAGAACCCCCTCCCTTCTAGCTTCCTTGAAAGTCCTGCATCCTTTTAAGAAGGTGAGCCCCGCTTTTACAGAAGTAGCCAATTAATCTTTTCTCGTGGGGGAAAATATCCCAGAAATGGGTCCCCCTTTTCCGTGAGACCTGCCCTCCACCCCTCCCTTTGGAGTAAAAGCCCTTGAGCCTCTTTTATGAAATAGCGCCCAGATCCGCCTTTCCAGGGAAAGAGACCCGGTCCCTCGCGCCTCCCGCCGGCCCCGCTCACGTAGAAGAGAAGCCTACGCCCCCGCCTCCTCCGGGCTGCCCTCACCCTGGGTCGGCTTCGGTCGGAGCCGGCGATCCCGCTCCGCGAGGACGCCGGGACGCGCGCTGGTCGCCTGCGCTGCGGCTTGGCCCGGCCTGCGGGGGTGGCGGGGTCTCGGGCGGCAGCGAGTGGCTACCCCGGTACAGGGAGGCGTGAGCGATGGGAAGGACAGCAGAAGCTGAAGCCGAGAACCGCAGGGGCGGGGAACAGGGGAGGCGGAGGAGAGAGCGGAGGACGGAGGACTAGGGAGGGGCGCCGAGCAGCGGGGCCTGGGGCACGGCAACGAGCCTGCGCCGAGCGCGGGACCCTTTCTCACTCGGGGTCTTAGAGCTTTATCTTCAGGGTGCAGAGAGCAGGCGTCATTTATCCAAGTTAGCAGATGGGGAAACCGAGGCCACACTAGGGGTGGCTCAGGGCATCCTACAGACCAGCTTTCCAGCTTGTATGTATGGGGAGAGAGGATGCGAACAAGACACGGACTGGGCTGCAAGGACAGAAATGGGGTGAGGTTTTGTGTTCGACAGACGTCCTGGCTGAGTGGCCTTGGGGAAGGTCTGAGGGTCAATGTCCTTAGTAAAGAAAGATGGAAATGCCCCACTTTTCCTTCCTCAGTCAGAAAGTGCTCCGGCGTGCAAACAAGGCTGGGGAAAAACAAAGCTGCAGACCATCGGTTAGCACACCAGTCCTCTGAGAAGGACAAAGAAGGAACAGGGTCCTTGCAGTCAACTGTTTTTCTGGAAAAGCGTCGAGAAGGTCGATAGGAGGTCCCTGTACGTGGCCTGGACACCCTGGCACTGACCTAGGAGTCCAGCAAGGCCTTGGAGCTGGGATCAGCATCTGCTCCTGTCACACTGACAGACCCTCTGTATAGGCTTTCCTAATGGAACTCTATGTGGTCACCTGGGGAGTGACTGCCTTCAGGATGGTGGTCTAGGGCAGCTTCCCTGCCTAAACAACAGAATACTGATGATTTGATGTCTCAAAGTGTTAAAGCAATTGAGTTGTCCGTTGTTAATAAAGTCTTTTGTTACATTCTCCCCCACCTCATCTGTAAGGAAAAATCGATGCAGGCAGATTTCAGTATTCACTGGGACGCCCTCCTGACGCTATTCTAGATACTACTCTATGGTCTGTTCTTTTATTTCTCACGCGTCTCCGTGTTCTTTACTGGTATTTCTAAATTCCCACACCTCTACCCTGGCAAGAGGTGTTTTTGTCGAGGCCGGTCCCCGACAGTGATGGCCTTGGCTTCAAGATCCTCCAGGGTGCTGGGAAATGAAGACCTAGACCGTCCTTGGGTGCCAGTGGGGAGGGAACAGGTCTGATAGCCACACGAATGCATGCACAGGAGAGTTGGGCGAGACCAGGAGCTAAGCTGTGACAGCTGTGTCCCTTGACAGTCAGGTCGCCCTTCTGAACCTGATTCCTGTTGTGTATTATTCTTTCAGGTGTGTGACTTTTGTTTACGCTGTATTTGTTTAACTCTGGGAAGCTGTGTTGCTGTGCCTGTCTAAAAAGCCTGATGATCCTAATAAAGAGATGAATGGCCAATTCTGAGATCAGGAGCAAGGGTAGGATGGGGCTGGCAGGCAGAGAGTATAAACAGATGGAGAAATCTGGGCGGAGAGAGAAGGAAGAGCAACCAGAGAACAAGGAGAGGAGGACATCAGGGGCCAGTCACCCAGCCAGCCGCAGAGTAAGAAAAGTAAGATATACAGAAATAGAGAAAGATAAAAGCCCAGGGCAAAAGGCAGTTGGGATAATTTAAGATAAGAAAAGCTGGCAAGAAACAAGCCGAGCTAAGGCTGGGCATTCCTAACTAAGAATAAGCTTCCATGTGTGACTTATTTGGGAGCTAGATAGTGGGCTCCCCCCCAAAAAACCAAAAGAGTAAAACATCACACAACAGATTCCAGTGGTGGAAGGTGGGAGAAGGGAAAGGCAGGACAATTATGAGGGCTGGGACTGCCTAGGCCTGGAAGACATTCGACACTTAACCAGAAGAACTCTCACCAGAGAAGTCAGGAGAGGGGTGTGTGTGGGGGGGGACAGCACATCAGTAGGGGTTCTTAAGGGTCTTGGGAAGGATGAGGCCAGAAAAGGATGAGGGGGAGGAGTAATACTAGGAGATGGTGGGTATGGGGCAGTCAGGAGTGGAAGACCATAGATAGCAGATCAGATGGCAGGAGGGCTCAGAGGAAAGAGCCCAGGCTAGGATGTCGTCCTCGCTTGCCCCTACCTTGTGGGTCACACTGGCAGTGCTCTGCCCCTGCTCAACGCCTCCCCAAGCCTGGATGTTGCCCTACCTCCCTTTTGTGTCTCTCCTGGAGCATTCTTGGTTGTGCACTTGAGTCAGGTCAGAGTATTGGAGAGCTAAGACCCTGGAGGAACCCTCAACTGACTAGGGGCAGGGACTGCAGCTTCCTGTTCCTCGTGGTGGCTTTCCTATGGCCAGCTCCAAGATGTGTTCTAGTGGAATCAAATCACTCCTTTTGTGACACCTCAGCCGCATGCACATGGTTTGTGTCCTCTTTCCCCTCCTAGGTGCACCCTATTTCCTGAGAGTACCTCCTAAATAACTGTTCAAACCCAAA